CATACACACGCACGCACCCACCCACGCACGCACGCATGCACGCACGCACGCACGCACGCACACACACACACACACACACACACACACTAACTGCAAAGACTCCCATTTTGTGCTTCGCACATGGGAGTCAAAAATTGGAGCCAGCCTCATACCTACATCGGATTTTAATCAGATTGACACTAGCTGAATATCAACTTGATGAATTCCTTCCAAGGGGTTATTTATTGTTTATCGCGATCAGAACTGAACAAATGCAGATTTAAATACAACAGCAACTTGAAAAATTTGTTGGTTTGTCCCAATTTTGCTCATAAAATCAAATGAGCCAAACCAATTAAACTTTTCAAGATTTTGGGTGTTTCATATCAAACTTTTACTTGCTATGCAGTTGTGAGAGAGATGTGTGGAAAACTTAGTGATTACTCGAGCAGACACCATAGACTTTTTTAGGGTTTATGATGGTACCGAGGCTATTTACTGTTGAAATGTAACCATTTTACTAAGGGACACTAAAGATTTCAGTTAACATGTTTACAATAGAACTGACATGAAAGCAAATTCATATCTCACTTTGAAGGGTACACAAGTTTTAATTTGAACAATGTGTAATATCTTCTGCTCAAAGTCCAAAGGCTAGAAATACTATAATAAGGATTGAAACAACAAGACAAATATATTTCAATGTTTTAAAAATTTATTTTTTAAGAGATTTGCTTCACAAAGATATATAAATAAATACTAAAAATAAACAGGCCATCTGATATACTGTAAACCATTTAATTTCAACACAGCACCAACACTGCTATATAATTATGCTCGCTGAAAAAAAATTAACCCAGTCATCTCCAAGAAACAGTTGTTGCAAACACATTCAAGTTTCTGGATTTAATCCAAAATGTATCAGACAAACTGACCTTATCCTCTGAAACATTCTCCCCTGTTCCCTGACCTACATAACCACGGTATTTGGAACAGTAGACAAGATGGCGATAGACAGCATAAACAAGTCGCGTGGCTCTTTTGCTTTCAACTAGATTTTGGCAGCCATTTGAAAAAAAGGTCTATTGGATCAGATCACAAAACAAAATTAGATATATATCCCATGATGCATTGCACTACATGTACAAGAACCTAATATGAACTGGTGGTAGCAACAACAAAATGGCCAACAGTGGGTCATATAAGAATACTCTCGTATTGAGACCTGTTGTAAAAAAAAAATGTGCTCCTGCAACGCAGTACCATATGTAATGTTTCAGGACTTGAGTTGTGAGAAATGACTAGATGGACGTAATTCAAATTAATGGTTCCAGATTTCAAATTTTTTAAACTAGCAAACTTGAGTTGAAGGGAGTGTTTTAGATGAATATAAATGTGTATACAAGTGACAATAAACAAAGTATAAATATAAAAAACCTATTCTGCATCTCACTGTTTGGTCACACCAAAGATAACATTTAAGTTTCTCTTTTATGAACAAAGCATGAAAACAAACAGTTTATGCTATTCAGGTTCTTCTTCTTGCATTTCAAATATGTGCTGTGACTCCTAGAAATATTTACAGTTCTTGAAAGAAAGCATTTTGGCTCAACATAAGTCTCTCTTGAGTTGGAAATGTATGATGTTTTCATTGGAAACAAACGCTGAGCTGGCTCAGAAAATTTCTCCTTTGGATTTACCACTTGAGTAGTTTTCTCCAAATACTCGCACTTCTGTTGGGGAACCCATTTGTGATTTGGTATCACTGTAGTTTTGGCTGGGAATACATGCGTGTTCTGGTCATTATTCACAGCTTGGACAGGTACGTTTGTTTTCTTAGTTGGGTAGTTCTGGGTATTCAATTCACAAGACTTATTCTTGTGATATTCACATGGAATAGCTATAGCTTGAGTTGGATAATAATATGACATCATTGTTAAAACAATAATATATACACATTCAATGAATGTCACAAATTAGAATTCCGGCAATCCCGATTGTGGTGGTCCCATCAGACTACCCTGATCCATTTGTTGCATCAATTCCTGTTGCTTTACCGTCTCCTGTGCATTTTTCTGCATTTTTTCTAACTTCTCCAGTGTCACTGATTTTAACGCCATCAATTTGGGTTTACACAGAACTGTGGTTGGAATGTCTTCTTGGTACAGCATTCCTTGTTTTGGTAGAACTTCTCGAAATGTCCCCTTATTGTCCGGCATTGTACTTTTTATGAATAACTTTTTCTTCAGATACAATTATGGATGAGAATCCGGGCAAAGTACTTCTGAAATGTTAATTCAAAATACGGAATCTATAAGATACAATTGAAATTTTAGTTTAGTGAATAATACAACAGTACTCTCGGCACAACAATCCTTTTTCTCACAATGCTAACTGAAACGAGAGGTTTCAACTGGTCAATTGAATACCGTAACATTGGACATTTTTAAACGATGTTGTTGCACACTGTGCTCATTGATTGTCTGGTGGGATGGCAGAATTGAAAAAAAAAAAATTGTACAGGAGAAAATTCATGGGAAAAAATCCTACAGGGATCAATAACAGAAACAAAAACTGCATGCTTATTTTTCAGGGGGAAAAATGTTACACACCAAGAAAGTAACAAAAATACGCCAAATCCTTCATTGAAGCACAGTCCCTCTACAGTAGAGGGACTGTGATTTAAGCACAACACTACGTGGAGGAAAAAATATTTCGCTTAGTTTTTCTGCCATCGACCCCCCCCCCCCCCCCGTTTGTTTCTAATAGCCCATCCCTAATGCAGCATACGTAGCCAACACCTACATGCAATATCACGTTTCCCGTATTGTGTGAATTACCCCCAGATTCTTGATTGTTTGAAGTAAAATTGTGTAAGTGATCGCGAAACCCAGAACTGTATTTCTAGACTAAGTGTTCATAACACCGACAGTTCACTCAGACTTCTTAGCGTTCTGTTCATCTCTGAGACTGAGTCAAGTTATTGATTGATGTGAAATCGTTCATGGTTCAAAAGCTTGACCATTTCAAGAGTCAATTTACTTACAGGCTTATGAGAGTAGAAAAGATTACCCGCCACAATATTATAACGCCTCAGAAGAAAATCAAATAACAAACTCACAGTCTCTCGTCGAAGAATGTGAAATGGCGTCTAAATTCTCGTATTCTGCGAGACCTCGCGGGATTTCAGTCGCCCTCAGGTGGCGGGTAAATTCAACGTGTGACCTGTCGACTACTTTACGCATTTGCAACTACGTAAGTTAAATGTTGTTAAAAGTTGTTGTATTCATCTCCGGCAACTAATTTCCATGAACCAAAGCGTAAAGACTGTCCACCTTTCACAGTCGGAGTGCGCGATCACAGGCTGAGTAGGGAGGTGACAATACAGGTCATGGAAACAATGCTTCGACAATGTCGACATTATATTGGGATTTAGAAACACGGTTGAAAATGAAAGTCAGTAGGATTTTATCAATAGTAATTGTAGCTAGAAATGACCAACCGAGTTGTAACAATGGGCGATATTTATCGTCAGTCGTCGACTGTAAGTGTGGGCGATATTTACCGTCGACTGTAAGAGTGGGCAATATTTATCGTCGACTGTACCTGTGGGCGATATTTACCGTCGTCAGTCGTCGCATGGTCCATGGTCCATTAGCTCCATGGTCGTCGCCTGTGAGAGTGGGCGATATTTACCGTCGTCAGTCTTCGACTGTAAGAGTGGGCAATATTTATCGTCGTCAGTCGTCGACTGTAAGTGTGGGCTATATATTTACCGTAGTCGAATGTAAGAGTGGGTGATATCACAGTCCCGATAGAGGGACTGTGGTGATATTTACCGTCGTCAGTCGTGGACTGTAAAAGTGGGCAATATTTATCGTCGTCAGTCATCAACTGTAAGTGTGGGCGATATTTACCGTCGTCAGTCGTCGACTGTAAGAGTGGGCAATATTTCTCGTCGACAGTTTAGGGGGGGGCAAGGGTTATTTTCGTTCAACGTAATTGCAATATTTTTTTGTTCGTACAACGTAAATAGAAAAAATAAATTCCGTAATTCTGTAATCACAGGCTAGACGTACAACGTAATCAATCAAATATTTTTTTCGTACACTGTAAAAATGTGTCATTTTTCTCGTACGTACAAAAATTCAAATCCAAATAAAAAAATCGTAAAGAATAATCCAGGGAAATTACATTTTAGAAACTGTAAAACGACTAGATGACACAATTCACTACAAAATTGAATGTCAAGACGTAAAAGGCCCTCTAACCGAATGAAGAGCACTACGAGGGTAATACGCGCATGCGTCTCTTCACACGGCGCAGCAATGGTGGAGAATTTGAGTCGGAGAGCTCTTCGGACCATTCAATGTTCCATTTGTTGACACTGTAAACTGTAAAAACGTCTTTTTTATCTTCGTAAAATGTGAAAAGCCCTTTTTATTCCCTGTAAAACCGTACCAGCTACCCCCCTTGCCTCCCCTCAGTTTACTGTTAGAGTGGACAGCGGACAAATGTTGCTCTCTCACAACTCTCAGTACATGATTCGTTAATTGCTTATCCATGACAAAAAGGAAAATGTTTTTGTTTGTTTTTTTGGAGGGGGCTTCTAATAGACAAAATACGGTAACATAACAATGGAGATTTGTTTATTATAGAATTTTTATGGTATATTCCAAATGTTAATTTCTAGTAATTTAAAGGACGGTGGTCGGTATGGGTCCCATACAACACAAGGGCTCATCAACTAGTAGCTTTGTTAGTCTTTTAATTTTTTTGATGACTCAGGGTGGTGTTCAGCAGTGGCTCTAAAATGCACAGTCCTCCAAAGAACATGGTTGTCATGGGAAAGTTCCATTTTTTTTAATGGCAATGACTAACCAATCAGATTGCCATTTAGAAAGATACTTATTTATAATATCATACTTAAGTCGTTCATTATTGACACCACATTCAAACCTGTATAGTTAGATGAAGAAAGCCCTATAGCACCAAAACAACAACTTTTTTGGCTTTTTTTTTTCATTAAATTATTAGTACTACATGTAATAGGAAAGTGTTTTATAATAATTAGGTTATTAGAAGAATACTGCAAAGTATGTCGTAAGTCACGTTACTGCCTTTGTGCTTTGAGTCTCGTGACAACCCCATATTTTTCAAAACTACGACTGAACTAATCACATTTCGCAGTGCATGTACATGCTCATTCAAGAGACTGCATTAATGTTTGTCAAGTATTCCTGATTGATATATTTAAATGATGTCATCAATTATGAATAATTCATGATCTTGTTGTAAATTCCAGTCTGCCAGAGTTTTGTTTTTTGAATCCATAGAAAAAACATACTCTGACATCAGAGAATGTTTTTTTTCATAGAAATATTGTACGATCAAAACTGTGTATAGTGATCATCCAAGGGATCACCAACTTGTACAGTTGATATTTGTCCAAAGAATAATATGATGACCCCACAGAAGCCATAGAATGCTCAATTCTATCTTAGAAATATCAAAAACTCCACACCCTGGTAGGGAGAACCCTATCTCCCCCACTTGGTGGCTGCGCTGAATTGCAGTGCTTTTACTGTTGTGATAGTCTCATTATTCAATACAAAGTTATTTTTAATACATGGTTACTTTTATTAAATAGCACAATTTTGGTTTTCTTTATATTTATAGTTAATCTCCATTGTAAGCAATAATTTGATAATTTACTTAAACAGTTTTTGCAGGCCTTCAGCACTTTCTGATAATAAAACCAAGTCATCAGCATAGAAAATGTCATTCATAGAAAATGTATAGAGAGTGTTTTAGCATTGACATTAGCAGTACAATGAAAAAAACAAATGCTGGTAAATCTGCAATGTTCAGTCTGTATTATTGCATATGTTTGTTTTGCCACATAGACATATCGGAATAATAATGGTATCAAAGGAGGATACTAGTTTGCTAAATCAATGGCAGAGACATTATTTTATGTTGAAAAGTGAGACCAGTACACCGAGTCAAAATGCTGATGCTGTACGAGGTATGCTGACACAGTTACAATATGCACAGATGACTAATAGGTAAGTTATAAGGTTTTGAATAATAATCTCCATCAAAACGTATTTACATTTAATCTAGATATTTTGCTCACTTGTACAATCAAAATATTAATATTACTACTTACTAGTAAGGCTGTGGTATCAGGGGTGTCGTCATTTAATAACGTGTTAATCATATATGGTTTAACACATCAGAATGCGCTGTAGAGCAAATAAAAGTGATTACATTGCATATTTTATCATTTCTTTTTTCTACTACATGTACCGTACATGCATTCACTGAAAAACATACTGTGAACGGCACACGTACATTTGCTTTGAAATTTTGTGAAAATCTTCGTGCAGTGATGCTGTACATGTTTTCCGTTTTGTGAAGATTGTGAACGCACTTATTGTTTACTGGGTTTTTGATTTCACTAACTTAAATCCATGTGAAAAATTGCTCAAATCATTAAAATAATGAAATTAAATACTAGTGAAAATAAATGGTTTTACAGTACATAGTTTGTTTATGAGATTAATTGTACATCTCTCAGTTAAAACAATATATAGATATTAACGCAACAGTTTAAAAAGAAATCTTTATTTTGTCTGACTTTTAGGTTATCTGAGAATGATGCAACATGTGAGTTATACCGACAATATTTTGAGAAATATTCCTCCATTGTTGACAACCAAAATAAAGCATTAGGTAAGATAAATAAAGTAATTTCTGTATGCAATAAATTAATATTATGAAATACATGTATGTATAGTTCTATTGGAAAAGTGCTTTCTTTACAGCAAATACAGAAATATAATTATTAATACTCTCCCAGAATGTCTACATAACAAGCTTTCTCCTAGCATAATATTTCCCAAATTTCTATATTCAGCCTACAAGTGGTACTATCATTTTATAATCCTGCAAACATACAATCACTAGCTACTTATACATTAAATGTAGTCCATTACAATTATACCGCCAAATAAATAATTCATGTTGTCTATTGAAGGTCTCAATAACTATGCTGATACAGCAACTGCATTGAATAGACCAAGTGGTAAGTTATTTACACAAGTATGCTATAATGTACTGTCCACATATCAGTGTAAATTATGAGTTATACCATTCTGATGTTGAAATCACTTGTACATGTATAATGACTTTGAATGTTGTAACGTCTTTTCAGAAAGTTTGTCATGGAAATCTTCAGTATCATTGGATAACATTACATCCGTGCCTTGCATAAAGTCTCTGATCCAGAATTCCAAGGTGGGTATATTTACATGTGAATGCTTGGTGTTTCCCTAAGTGTGTTCTTTCTATGCCACCTTTGGTACTAATGTGTGTTAGTAAATCAACTGCTTGAATTATCGGTATTTACATTTTGTATTGTATTTTATTGTATTTTCAGAAAAACCTAGATGATCCTAATTCTAGTACTATAGTTATAGCAAAGCCAAAGCAGACTCGTATTACAACCCAAGTGTGTAGTCCTGTTGATATGCCAACGAGTCACAATGCACCAAGACCTTTATTCAAAGCATTGACATCTACTGACAATCCTGCTGTTATAAGGAGTAAACCTAGAAACACTTCTGACTCTGGCTTCAACTACAAAGCATCTGAAAACAGTGTCAGGCAGAGTACATCATCAAATGTATCACAAGATGATCCTCTCCGACATTCTGACTTTGTACCGAATCAGTTTGCGAAAGGGTTTGGTAGTCGAGAAGGGAAACGTGGGGGGTTGCAATCTCAGATGGATGATGGATGGTCTGGATCTTGCAGGCAGCCATCAAGACCATTACAGTCGTTTAAACGAAAGGCATCATCATCATCCAGTTCAGGTAACAGTAAACGCTTCAGTCTTATTCATTTGTGAACAATACTATACAATAAAATTATGAAACTTTGCAGTGGTTGGAAATTCTGTAGTTCAAAAAAAGAGTATGTCGTGAGACACTCTTATTTCATCAAAATTGACCATCATCAAATATCAAATTTCCATGTCATAACAAAAAAACATATTAGATTCTAATAATTACACAGTGAAAATTATGGAGAACAAATTAAAAATTACAATAACATACACAAATAAAATTAAAATGCACAAAAACATCTTAAGATGTAGCTCAAAACTACATGAAAAAAAAAATTCACTATTTTTCAACTATTTTCCTTCTTAAAGTTTCTAATGGTTGACAATAAACAACATATTTATATTTAATTAAAGGTATTGGTCAGGGATCATTCAAATCTGAAGATAGTATGAGCAGAACTGGTAACTATGGTAACAGTTACCAAGGTAATACTGATACTGGTGAGGATTCCAGAAACAACCAGGCATCATCTGCATTTAAAACTGCAAGAGATCAACTGGTGAGTGTGACATCTTTGTAATAATTAATATGTACATGTATTGATTGATGAGGTCAAAGGTTACTAATAGCTTCAGTAAAGGAAATTGATTTCTCAAAATGGCCATGTGATACGTGATTCTAGACTGCAATGAAATGGATTTTCTAGCAAAAATGTTATTGAATTATTTTGTAAAGTACTTGTAGACTTGTGCATGAAGTGTTAATGATATCAGGGTAGTAAATTAAAAAGGTGTTCTAAAAGGTGTTGAAATTACCGTTAAAACGTAAAAAATAGATTCTTTGGACAATCAGCATTATAGGCAACTATAATTATGTTGAAAATAAAAACAAATAATGACCAAAAACTCCAGGAAAATGATAAAAAGTCCTATAATTTTTTTTTATTCCAGGTGCATAACCCTCTGATATGCTCCCTGGTTATGCTATGCAAATACTCAATACATTGCATTCAGTGGAAAAATAATCCATCATCTGTACATTTGACATCATAAAATTCCACTATTTAATAAGTTAACTGTTTAGCACAAAATGGTTAATATCAGGGTGTTACATTGTTGCATACTTTACTAAATGCAAATTCGTTTTATATAAAAAAAAAAAACTTAATTTGTGTAAAATACTAGCTTGAACTCGATTGTAGACATTGTAATGGATTTGATTTTATCTATGTATTTTTATTCCTGTATATAGATTATTAACAACCAGAAAAAAGCTGGTAACCGGGGAGTCAGGGGACCACCATTAACCTCATCCTATGGTGGTACGAAAAAGTCCTTAGGAACAACTAGAAGAGGAATTAATAGTAAATTTATACCACCAGTTGTGAGCCGAGATGAGGACGGTGACGGTGGGTAGGTTGATATTCTATTCAATTTTTTTCACTTTAGTGGCATGGTTCTCTCATGGTGGCTTAGCTGCCATACATGGTTACACTGGGTGATGGGTATCAACTGAGACGCGTTTCAAGATCACTGCACAAAATGAGCTTGGTAATTAGGCATCTTTTTTGGGAGAAGTCCAGTGGCCAAGGGAAAGACGTGATGCGTAGCTAGGCAAATTGGTGCCATACACGAGTGTTGGTTCGAGTAACATAGTACTTGTTTATTTTGAAGCAACATAGTATTTACCTTGTTGTGTATTCAGTCTTTAATTTGATTTATCTCTGGTTAGCAGGAATGTGCAGATTTAGGGAGATATTTTCGTTTTAATTATGTTGGTTCTGTTCTGTAGGTTTAAGTTACATTTAAAAGTTTACAAAATGCTTGTAAAATAAGGAAGAAGTTGTTTTTTTATTTGAACACCACAAGTTGGAAAAAGTATAATTTATAACATCTTAGTATTCATACACACACTTTATATAGAAAATATCTCTAGGGGAGAAGATATAAACATATCTGTTAAACTTAATCACAAATAACTGGTTTTGAACTGTAAACGTGTCTAGCTACTGGGGTATTCTCTTTATAATGTGTACTTTACTTTTTACAAGTGGTACAACATATGGCAGAACAGATTCAAGAAATCACCGCAGTAAGAAAGATGAGAGCGATGAAATAGTTGATGAGAGACTGAAAAATATTGAACCAAAGATGATAGAATTGATCAGCAATGAGGTAAGGAATGATTTAATGAATGTGAGGGATGATTTAATGAATGTGAGGGATGATTTAATGAATGTGAGGGATGATTTAATGAATGTGAGGGATGATTTAATGAAGGTGAGGGATGACTTAATGAATGTGAGGGATGATTTAATGAAGGTGAGGGATGATTTAATGAAGGTGAGGGATGATTTAATGAAGGTGAGGGATGATTTAATGAAGGTGAGGGATGATTTAATGAAGGTGAGGGATGATTTAATGAAGGTAAGGGATGATTTAATGAAGGTGAGAGATGATTTAATGAATGTGAGGGATGATTTAATGAATGTGAGGGATGATTTGATGAATGTGAGGGATGATTTAATGAATGTGTGGGATGATTTAATGAAGGTGAGGGGTGATTTAATGAAGGTGAGGGATGACTTAATGAAGGTGAGGGATGACTTAATGAATGTGAGGGATGACTTAATGAATGTGAGGGATGATTTAATGAATGTGAGGGATGATTTAATGAAGGTGAGGGATAATTTAATGAAGGTAAGGGATGATTTAATTAAGGTGAGGGATGATTTAATTAAGGTGAGGGATGATTTAATGAATGTGTTTTCTGTTTGTGTACTATTGGTGAAATTGTTTTTACCTAACCGACTGCTTGCTTCGTTTGAGTCTTACAGTCAGACCACTAAAAATGTGGTCTGAGGTTGCATTGATTTATAGTTGTCATTCTGGTTTGAGAGACGTTGAAAAGCCTGTCTGAAGTTCAAGTATGTTTAGTTTCTGATTGTCTATAATTATATGTATGCAGTCTCATCTTTTGATCTAGATTTGACTGGGATGGAACAATCAGCGATTATGTTAGCATTTTGTTTGTTGCAAGTCCTAATAAACAAGCGGTATTGACAATGTATTGTGTGCATCTTTATTACAAATGGAATCCCTTTTTATGCTAAAATTTGGGTTCAAGCCTAGAACATTCTAAAATACATAAAATGTGTGTTTTTGATGCAAGAAAATATGAAATATTGATTAAAGTAGATATCCTGTCCTGCCACACATTTCACTTTGAAAGTACTGGATGTTCTTATTCCTTAAACAAACTTACCTACAATGTAATCTGACCTTCAAAGACAACAGAGCTTCCTTAAACTCTGTGGGGAGATTCATTTGATTTATCGATCTTTATTCATAACCATATGTTTTCTCTGTATTTCATTTTATGTATATAATGCTATGGGAAACTAGCACACCCAGATTTAAATTTGCCAATATCTGTTTTGAACATCAGAGTAAACACCATATTTGTAATCAGTCAATGAGAACGCCTCCCACCCTAAAAATTGTTACTCAACGCGATCTATGGCAATTTTGTATGTTTTTGCGCTCGTTTTGAGCAGTTGCGTTTCAGTTGTTTACGAGTTAACATCTGTATGTATGTTATTGAAGAATAAACGAGGTTGAGTTCTAGTTTACATTACGTGTCCGTTTCAGTTTTCACTGCTGAGAAGATCAAACCATCTTTTCTCCCACAAACTCAGTTTATATTGTGTATTGTTAATTTAAGAGGCTTGATTAAATTCATATTGTGTAGTTTCTCAGTCATTACTACATCTAGAATATCAACATTGGTTGGTGTATATATCGGTCAGAGGATCAGTGTGAATGCAACTTTAAATCAAGAATCCAGCAAGTACATTAACATTTTGTCTTACTTTATAGATAATGGATCACGGTGCACCTGTTGCATGGGATGACATTGCTGGCTTACAGTTTGCTAAATCTACAATAAAAGAAATTGTCATTTGGCCGATGTTAAGACCGTAAGTATAATATTGTTATTTGTCCATGATTTTATTCTGTGAAATTAGATGTGATTCAGTTGGAATTTGGTGTTTGCATTGATTCAGGATTTGCTTAGTGTTCAACATTGAGGGTGCTGTGCCCCAAGTGCTATTATAGTTCAGTAGTCGGTAGTGTCTACTTGTGACTGCATCCATTAAATTTTTCGTATTTAGAGAATTACTGCTGAGTGTATTCGATAGAATAATCTTACTGTTGACATAAATTATCCATTGTGAGAATAAACATGCATAAACTTAAATTCACTTTGTTCAATTACCCACCATAGACTCCGACTAGTTGACACTTAGTGGCGCTATTCACCGTTGTCACACAATGCATGATATTATTGTTAATTTAACATTCCACATAAATAATAATCATGCCAACAACAATGCACTTCAAACATGAGATATGTAACATCTAAATATTAATTGGAACTAATAATAGTCTTTCTATTGTATGTATTCTACTGAAGCAATATGGCAGTTCGCAAATGACAAGATCAAAATCTTGGTTTGGCCAAATGTTTGTTTTGGTGTATTTGAAAAAAAAAAATAATAATATGTAAAACAAAAGAAAGGAAGAAACATGCCACTTGGTGGCGCATAACTCCATCATAAGTGCCCAGAGTGTATGTATCGAATATTCTCAATGGGATGTGCAGGACTGCTATTGAAATGGTCATTTTTTTTTTGAGCATAACTAACTTTTCACAAACTTGTATAGTCAACCATAATATCACACCAATAGGCTTTTATAGTTATTTAACATTAGTGAACATTAGTGAACATGCGCTTGCAGTTATGGCTGCCAACATTTTTCATTTCATTGTTTTTGGCAGAAATTATAATAAGGTATTGTCCTTGCATTATGTTAGTAAATGTGTGAAAAGTGTCAAATTCTCATATCACAGTGATAAAAATGGTAACGTCGGATGATTTGGTTTTCTTTGTTTACTGATCAAGCACACACTAATGATGAGGTTTATCATGATTTTCGCCACTTATAGTGATGCCTCTACTTTGAATAATATGAACCATATTCATGTGATAAAGTGTGATATGTAAAGTGTTATAATTATCTAGATGTTTCCAAATTCATTATAGTGACATTTTTAATGGACTTAGAGGTCCTCCAAAGGGATTATTGCTTTTTGGACCCCCTGGCACAGGAAAAACTTTGATTGGTAAGTTCAATATATTTTATCACTAAGCCAAAAAATCAGCAACAAAATGTAAACTCTATCCGATAAATGAAAAGTAAAATCTTGTCCATTTATATTTACGGTTTATAAGACATTAATGTTATTGTGAAGTGATATGCAAAGAAAGTCTCCTGATCTTTAGCATTCCATACATGTGTCAATCAAAACTAGTTTGTCAATCGGCAGAGGATGCTTGGGAAAGTTTGATTGCAAATCTTGAAAAAAAACTTGATTATCACTGTATTTTAAAATGCAAAATACATGAAACAGTTGAAGACGAACAAGTTCTTACACAGGAAAATTCATTTAGTTTAGTATTTCTAGAAATGTACATTTGTTTTTTCCATTTTGCGATCATCTGACAATTCACATGATTTTGTTGTATTGAAAACTTCAGCACATATCTCACCATTTATCTACTATTATTCTATAAATCCTTGATAGTATCTATCACATTCTGTCTGAATATTCTGTGGAGCAGGTATGTAGCTTTGATTGAGAAATTGAACCTTGCTCAGCAGATTCATCTAGAGTTAATGTGGGGAGACATGACCTGTGTATGCCGTAGACGACCGTAGCTTGTCAATATTTAGCAAATAGCATCTACCCATAAGCCTTTGTGTTTCTAGCGTCTGTTGTAATCGTCACTTGGGACTCAATTTCTGCATATGCGCAGGTGGCAACCGTTCCGCTTAAAATTCATGAAGCAAACAGCAAGGGACAAAAGTTGATGAAAACATTAACCTGAATGGAAAATACTTAATACTTAGATCTATATAATTGTGACATCACAACAGTTTGTTTTGTGAACACATAACTTGTAAATACATATGATTTTGTATTTCAACAGCACCCCAAACAAGCAAAATTGCAATCAAAAAAAAACAACTCTCTCATTGGTGAATCTGCAAATCAAATTATTTTTTATACCTGGTACAAAATACAAGTTTTAACTATTATTATTTGATTATAATGAGTATGTTGTCTCCACAGGTAAATGTATCGCTAGTCAATCAGGTGCAACATTTTTTAGTATAAGTGCGTCCTCACTTACATCAAAATGGGTAAGTCACTTCTGATATGGTATACGAGATAATAATGTTACTACAATAATACTACTAAGTATGCATGAAGCCAGTATATGGCAAATGACTGACTCATAGCACAGGTTGATGCAACTCTGTACTGCCTGAATGCATACTTTGCTGTTGTCTCGTGATAAGCTTATTATTATGCATCTTTTCCCCATTTGTAGGATTTACACTTTAATTACAAGAGATAACCTATAAAAATGCCAGCAATAAATGTTTCACACTGTACGATTCTATTTTTATTACCCACTTTATCACTTTTGCTTCTAATTTAAACAAAGGAAAGTGACTGTGGCGTTGACAACCAGGAACATGTTGATGATGTAGTTTACCTTGTAAATGTTTTTAGATTAGTAATATTAATAATTATACCACTCTTGGTCATGTGACTCATTGTTCCTAGTCATTCATTGCTCTAAACACACTAGTCTATGGTTATATTCATAAACAGATTGTGAACCACTATTGTAAATTTCACATTTTTTTTAAACATACATTGTTTTGTACAAACTAGACCTGTCGTCTTTAAGTTGGTTGCTAGTGCCGATTTAGGGGGCACAGGTCGGGCAAATTTTTTGTTCATAATATACCGGTAGTCCTGCTGGATAGAAAATTTAACTAGCATTTCATTCAATTGTTGATTATTATTTAACAACTGCAATTGGTTCTATGAGACTGCATCTATAATAAATCCAGTAAATGTTTTGCTGCCATTGTGTTTTCTCTTTCTTGGTATTACGATAAGTTCATTGAGCTAATTCATTGTTTTAAAAAACATTTGCTTCAAAAATACCAGGTTTTGTTGTTGCTGATATACATGGGGAGGGGGGGGGGGGTTTAGATGTTATTCACTTTGATTCTTATCATGTGACACAAATCATGGTAGTAACCATGACAACTTTTGTCTTTGACCTGAATTGCAGGTTGGTGAGGGTGAGAAAATGGTGAGGGCGCTGTTTGCTGTTGCGCGTGTTCACCAGCCGGCCGTTATCTTCATAGACGAGATAGATTCGTTATTAACACAACGAAGTGATGGTGAACATGAATCATCTCGGAGAATTAAGACGGAATTTCTGGTTCAATTGGTAAGATATATCTTGACACTTAACAGTAAAATTGGATTGACGTGATAGTTGCGTAAAAAATTGAACAAAAGTAAATTTCAAAAAAGAAAATTATATGAATTACATCAAAAACGAAAGATCTGCATCCATCTTAAATGCTTCTTATCTCCATCTTTCTTTCTTATACTTCAGGATGGTGCCACTACTGATACAACAGACAGAATACTAGTTGTTGGGGCAACCAATAGACCACAAGAAATTGATGAAGCAGCGAGGAGAAGACTTGTTAAAAGATTATACATCCCGTTACCCGAGTTACAAGCAAGAAAACAAATAGTAGAGAATTTATTGCGGCAGCAGTGTTTCAGCTTAAATGATTCTGAGTTGCAACAGATTTGTCTTCAGACTGAAGGTAATAACTAGATTTATTTTTACAAGTCTTATTGTTTTTTAGAAAGTTGAAAAAGTACAGTGTTTGCAAAATGGAAAGGTGATGAAACAAATAACTTGAGTTGCTAATATATTCATGAGTTGAAAATTTGCATATCATGTGACGTGGTGGAAAGAAATGAGTGCATACATGATCAAACCTTCTCTGTTGTAGGCCCAACAAACCACTTCAAAGATTGCAAACAAAATGTATAATTGATAATACATGTACAACTTTAATCATGTTTGTCGCTTGGTTCTAGGTTATTCTGGGGCAGATATGTCTAATCTGTGTCGTGAAGCTGCCCTCGGACCAATAAGATGTCTCCAAGGGTCGGAAATACAAAACATATCAGCTGATCAGGTGAGATGGTCACATGTGTTTCTGTTATGACAGTCATGCAAATATTCTTGGGGTGGACTTCTAGGCTGAAAAGTATCAGAAAACGGTACTTTGGAATAGTTATTGAGACTCTCCTGAAAGGTGTAACAAGACTACACCAACATTTGCAACATATATAAAATTGTTGCTCCAGATTACTTCAAAGTTAAGTTTGTGCTGTTTTCTCAACTTCAGCTGTTTTCACCGGCTCCTACGATCAGTGTTCCACAGCAGCTTGCGCAGAGCCCATTGAAATACATTGTACAGTGGTGCGCGTCTTAGCAACGTGGAACGTCCTGTGATGTACTGTGATTTTAACTTGAACTCCAGATATGTTAAAATTCATGTATTTCCTGTCTATGATGTTAACCTTTGAATCCCTTGTCAAATTTTGTCATCTTTCACAAAATAAGGCCAGAAAAAAATAAGATTTTGTTTATTGACATTGTGTGCGTCTATTGGAAACCTCACACAAAATTTTCTTGATTTCACGTACAGTAATGTGCACCACATTTTGAAGAATTAGGAAATGTTTATTGGGCAGTGAAAATGAATAATATCATGAAATGAATATGTTACTTTTTTAATTCATGTAAACTGCTTTAATGTCACAAGAGACAAATTGTTATAAGTAAGTGGAAAATTTCGTAGCAGTGTCAGCAACTTTCACAAAATGTTGTCTTCTCAAAGGCCATAAACCCAGGGTGATCATCAAATCACAGAAATTCCTAGCAACGAAAATAAGGCGGTTTACATTAACATTCAAACATCAATTTTGTTGTTGAATAATCTTGTATTGAATAAAAACACCCACAGAATATTATCACATAATTTTTCACTTTTATTTGGGACAAATATTGTGATCAATACGTGTAACCAATAGAAAAGTATATCCCTTTTGTCTAAAATTTACAACAACAAAAAAATTGTAGAAATTTTGTTGGGTAAAAAATTATGCTAATCAAATATCTATATATAATACTAAGTCTAAAGAAAGAAAAATTATTACTGGTGAAACTCAAATTATTATTTTATTTATTTTAATCTAGTGCTTGACAAGAATACGACTTTAAGGAAATTCACTATTAGGACAAACTTGCAATTGCTGCTAATTTTTTCTTTAATCTTAAATCTGTATTAAATGCATGATTGCAGTAGAAATAACCTGTTAGAATTTAGTCTATTGAGGGAAAAATTAAAAATCCCAACCTGCCTATCCAATATTTTGTTAGTCTGCTACTGGAAACACGTTTGTTTTCTTTGGCCTAATGCCGTGTATATATTGTATTATTGACTTAATTGCAAATGCACACTATATCTTCATTACCATAGTAACAGAATACCAAAGCAGACAACATATAATTTTTCCATATTTTCTGTTAATGTAGGTGAGACCAATCATCTTTCAAGATTTCCAAGATGCTTTATTGAATGTCAGACCCAGTGTATCAGAAAAAGATTTAGATGTTTATTTAGAATGGAATCAGCAGTATGGTAGTGGTGTTAAATAACTACTTTGTATGCTGATTCCCTGGCCAAGGCTATACTACAATGCTGATTCCCTGGCCAAGGCTATACTACAATGCTGATTCCCTGGCCAAGGCTATACTACAATGCTGATTCCCTAGCCAAGGGTATACTGCAATGCTGATTCCCTGTGCAGGGGTTTACTACAATGCTGATTCCCTGGCCAAGGCTATACTACAATGCTGATTCCCTGGCCAAGGCTATACTACAATGCTGATTCCCTAGCCAAGGGTATACTGCAATGCTGATTCCCTGTGCAGGGGTTTACTACAATGCTGATTCCCTGGCCAAGGGTATACTACAATGCTGATTCCCTGGACAAAGGTTTACTACAATGCTGATTCCCTGGGCAACTCTATACTACAATGCTGATTCCCTGGCCAACGTGTATATGTGTATCAGAAATATACATTTTTTAAATATATCGTTATCCATATTTGGGCATTTACCGGTACATGACATCATGGCTGTACCTTATCTGCTGATTTGGTTCAATTGGTCTATTGAAAATTAATTGCTATAACAATGAAACACCTGACACATATTGTAAAACATTATTTTCACTGGTATTCACAATTCTAATGCACTGAGTATATTTTTGTTTGTGTGAAAAATGTTCACATGGATTTAGTAATAATAGATCTTGTTGTTGGTCAAAACAGTGAAATGGAAATATAGTGTGTAATTCTGTGTATCATAACAGTGCTAAATCCTATGTGGCGCTACATTGTCTTTTAGGGGTTGTAATTGAGTAATGTATTAATTCTTTGCAAGGTATTGTGAGTAATGGACACTATTATATAAACTTTTGGATGATCAAAACAGTTTCACAAAAACATTGACAATTTTTTGGAGATTATTGTATTGTTATCTATTAACAATAATTGTAATGTAATAAAAGAAACAGGGTCACTGACCTAGTTTTTGGGATAATTGGATGTTCAGTTACGGTAATACACATGCTCTATGAGGAAAAAGTAAAACCTGACCCTTTTAAATATAAAAAAACATTGTAATTTGTTCAAAGCCAAGGTAATGGCTTGTAGAGAATATAGTTTTCAAAAATAAAAATTATAGTTCACCAACCTTTTTAAAATTTATTCAAGTTTTAATACCGGTAGTTTGTACCACACTAATAATACATGTGCACTAGAATGTTTTCTCACAGGAATGCACGCTGATATAAATCAACAATCAACCCACCAGTTGAAATCTGGAGTCACAACCACAAGTACTGTAAAAAGACTAGAGTAATTTTCACTTGGTTTAAATTTTGCTGATTTATCCTTTCAGGCATATTCAGTGGGTTTTATCATTTAGATAATGTGTTCTGTGCTAAATTTTACATATTCACTGGTTTTTAATTTAGCGCATTTCCCAGTCAGCGAAATAAGCAAAATTAAAACCCAGTGAATGTCACACGCAACATAATATTACCGTAATTGGTATAGTACAGGTGTGATGGTTCAAATACCAAAATGGCAACAGTAACAAAAAGACTTCCCTGGTGGCGATGATAAAATACGAACACGGAGCCAACAGATGAGGTTTCAACTGGTACTGGTATTATTATACTCTGCAATCATCAAGTACAATAACGCGGTAAAACTCCACTACTCCAATAACTAGATACTTAAACTCCAATACAATTCAGCGAGATCTCCGATCTGATCTCAGTGCTGAACAACTCCCCTATATATACACCCTCACTGTCTATAAATAGACCATTACATCAGCATACATAATGAGTCTGGAACTTACTACCAATTTCTAGAATGTTCCATTACCTTCTATTGCCTCCTACAGTGTTCTATTACCTATTCAACCAGTTTCTAAACAAAATCTAGAATATTCCACCCAGACACAGTACGGTTCTAGAACATTCTCAGTGACACGGAAGTGGTAAATAAGTCGTATGCGACAGTGAATAATAACGGGTAGTTTTCAAATCACTTTGCATAGTTGTTAAATTGCATAAAAATTACGATATTTACTCAAAATAAAAAAAAAAGAGTAGGTCATTTTGTTTATGCTGAATAAGGTACTAGTATGTAATTTCTTTTAATTTTTGGCCCAAAAAAAGTTTTGATCAATATTATGTGACCTTAGAAGCACATCTGCAGTAGAAACTTGTATCAAACCAACAATTACATCAGTATCAGTCTTATTGAAATACTACTAATTAGACCATAAACACGCATGTCAAGCTGAACAGAAAATTTACTGAAAACTAAATAGTCTAAACTATTTTACATGTGTTGCATACATCGCTATGAGTCCCATACAACAAACAGGATGTGGTGCGATGACCACCGCCCTTTAAAACGCGGTGGTCGTCGCGCAGCGAGTGTTCGGATTTTATGTAAATAATGTATTTTACACGCGTTGTATACGTCGCTATGAGTCCCATATCGAACAGGACGCGGCGCGACGACTGCATACATTACTAATAGAACAAATCAGTATAACGCATAAACAAGCATAAGATTCTGTATTAATATTGTTTATGTGTACACCTAAGAATGACTTGTGTATTACCAAGACACGTTTCTCCAGTCTCTAGCTCTGTGTGCATGTGTTGGAGTCGCTGTGGCTAGTCTATATTGTGTGTAGAATTGTCTATAATAATAATAATATCTTTATTACACTGTAATGAATAATGACAGTTCATCTTATATGACATTGTAGGGAATCTAGTATTGCAGTGAATCGTGCTATGCTTCCCTGGTAAAAAAAAAAATTAAAGACAGAAATCAGTGTTCATGGTATTATTTCAAAGTGCCTAAACAAACAACTTAATTAAACAGCTTTATGAGTGACAATGCAGACTCATTCATTCATTGACGTGCAAGATGGTCAAGAAATGGACGACCCTTCCTTGGATGTTTGCATTGCGTACATGTCAAAGGTTTTAACCACTAGTGGTCTGAGGTTCGTTAGAAATACATGTGGCATAAGTAATATCAGCATGAATCTAGAATTAATCATTACACCGTGGTACGACATAGTATTGTCAAGCAAAAATGCAGTACTTTCATTCACAATTTTATCTCCCTCGCAAATTGTTGTGCACGCATGGTGCAACATTAAACGCTGGGGTACCTGAACACAGAACTTTCATTCAGTGATTTAGAGCGCCCTCATATGGCTTTATTTGGATCACTTTGTTTTTGCTGTCAGGATGAGCATTTCTAATTTATGAAAAAAAAAAATGGCTGTTCGGGCTGAAGTAAAAAAAAACATATGTGCTTTATATAGGGCTCATACCACTAATTGAATTTCCATAGACGACAATGTTAACATATGACGAGATTGCTATATGAAAATGACGAAGAAAGTTGAAAATATGGCTCAAAAATGGGAAATCAACATGCCAGTAATCAACCATATGAAAAAAACTAACATGTTGGCCAGCTCAAACTCTTGCAAATCTCAGGTAAACAAGACACACCTACTGTATTTGGATTGCACCAAGAGAAATCACTGGAAAAACACCAAGATTAGAACATCCATTAACACACAGAATAAACCCACAGGTACACAGCCGCTAAGTAGTAAACAAAAGACCACATGTTGGTCTCACCTCTGACCCAGGTGATTACGCCCTCAAACAGGGAGCATCTGAGAAAAATAATATTTAAAAAATTTCATTGGTTCTTGCTGGGCATTTCAATTGAGCAGCTATTAATGGTTAATTGGTTAATTAGTGGCATGAGACCTATATAGTGGATAGATATGATGTTCCTAAAAAGGTAATGTTAATTTTGAATAAATTTGATTGTACTGCGATAGAAAAGTGTCCCTCGGCTGAGTTTACAATGTAATTAACATTTACCAAATAAAATCGCTCCAGGGCAAATTAAATACACATCTCATGTAAATCACGTCTTCTGACGTAAATTGGTGACAAGAAGGCCGTTCAAAGCGTTGACATCGTTTTGATCGTTTGTTTTTATTAGAAATGTTATTAGTGATGAAGAATGGCTCCGCAAACAAACAGTGGTGATTTTGAACGACATCGACTTCACACATATACGTCATTTTGACGTCACAAAGTATCCCATCACTAGAGGGCGCGGTTTATAGAAATCGTGAATTTATTTACTGTAGAAAACTTTATTTTCACTTCAGTGAAAATAAAATTCAGTGAATTTACCGTTTTTCCTCTATTTTACATTCAACTCGTCAAAAATCAGTGAAAATAAATTCCATACAAAACACCCAGTGTTTTCAGCGAAAATTAATTTCAGCTAAAATAAAGTATTTTACAGTACTAGTGAATTCCTCTACATATACCGGGGGTATTAAATATATGTAATTTTGTATTTTCAGATACCTAAATTATAACAATCATTTATTATTTCTTTCCTGTTTATTGTAGTATATTTGTAGCATGACATGCTAACACTTGAAATCATATAAATAGTATATCTCAGTTGAAGCGTGATTCGTCCGTCACCTGCGCATGCGGCAGATGGCCATAGCGTGTCGTTGTTTGCAAACAAGTACCTTTGCTTCTTGTGATATGCCATTTTTACTGTGTTTTTCAATGCTCGATTTTTAAAATTTGCATTTTGTTTATTTTTTGGTGTTTTTTTCTCTCAATAAAATAAAATATCATGGGAATGTGTATATGGCGAAAGCCGGGTTACCGCGAAATAAGCAGGGACTTGTGACCCTTGTAGACGCCCTCTCGCGACACCGGTAATTATTGTCACCGGTCTGGGTTCAGTGCGTGATGCAATGATTTGACAGGTTCATTAATATTCCACCAATCAAAATTGGAATTAGATTCGTCGCGACAGAAACCGCACCGAAACTAAAATTTCGCATGCTTGCATTGTTTATCTCGTGGTAACCCAGCATATTTTATTTTATTATAAAAAACAAGAGACTGTACGCAAGTCTAGGTCAATTCATAATAATTCTATATAACCCTAATTTACCACCATCGTCGTCACTTAGTATTGTGAGTAAATAATACAATATAATATTAGTTATAAGTTTGGCATTTATGGTTGTTTCAAATTGTGGAAAATTTTGACGAATAAATCCCCATGCAAATAGTTCCAAAACAGTCTTTTTCGTTTTTCCAGGAAAAATATTTCAGCCACAACCCGGAAGTCAAGAATGTGTGTCTATCTCAACAAATATGTAACAATTTTGAAACAACAACAATCGTTACAATTTTAGATTGTCCACGTGAACCACTTTAAAGATGCAACATGATCATAGAACATGTATATTGTTATTGTTCTTCGGTACTCATTAATGTGGACCAATCAGATTACGATTCGTCATAAACTAAAAATTTTGTATTAGATGAAAAATCAAAACCACTACTACGCATGTGCAGTTGTAAGTAATAAAAAAATCAGAGCACGTGCGTATTGGACAATTGTATTGCTCCGTCGAAGGAATATTCAAATGTGTGCGACAAGACATCGTGTTCAGTTCATAGTTCAATGTATCTATCAGTATACAGTATCAACACGAATAAACACACAGGTTCTCGTGCATAGTACCCTACCCAATACTACCGGTAGTACAAATCATATGCACACGACTTGTTGAATCGTTATGATTTCCGTTGCTATTCGTTTTCCCGATGTGATGATTTACTGTGGAAGAAAAAGCAGCCCAACCAGCAGTATTGGAATATAACTCACTGCATGGATGTACATCCATGCTCACTGTTTACAAACAAAATAACAATATTGATAGTTCAAATGTAACAGTTTGTAATATTGGTACTTTATTTGTATAACAGTGAGTTATAGTAATACTATTCGTTGAATTACTTTTTTTTCGTTCACAGTAAGACCGTCACGGTTTAAAGCCTGGACACACATTTGCACGAAAGCAATTTTTATTCTTGTCTCAATAACCCCAGTGAAATGTTCACGTGAAATTGAACACAATTTCATGACCCTTTAGTATAGTCACCAATGGTAAATTGCACAAAAATCACCATTTTCATAATACTCGAAAAGTAGTTCGGTGGCACCATGGAGCTAAAAGCAATAGACAAAGGCAATAGACCAAACCACAGTCCCTCTGACTGTGACCAAACCTTACTTTTTTTATCCGGGCTTTGTGAAAAAAAAAACGCTGTAAAAGTCAGGGAAATCTGATAAAGCAAGCTACTAATATATTCATACTTTAATGTGTAAGAATAACATTGTATTTGATGTCACTACAAGTTATGTGGTATACTATAAAATACAGTAACAATACATACATGTATTGTTGTAAAACAATTCAATTTCACTATTCAGATTTTTTGAGCATATTCGCTGAATTTGCCAGAGAAACAATGAATTCTATTGTTATTTTACATGTTCACGTAGATTTAATTTAACGGATTTTACCTAATATCAACTGAAATAGCGAAATTTAAACCAATTGAATAATGAATGTACCTGATTTACCTGGTTGTATACATGTTTTTCATGACGTGCCCTCTGGAACATCACTCAGCTAAAGCATAAAATACCATGTTTTTTTTTCCCAGCGGTGACAGCTTAGAAAAAAATCACATACAGTCAAAGATTAAAAATAGTCTGAAAATAGCATGCACTGCCGAAAATGGACAA